GATTCCAGTTTTGCAAGTCTCTTTGATGCTACACTCAGTCAAATGCGGTTTTGATATCAAGGGCTGTCACTCTCACCTCTGAATTCAACAGTTTATCCATGTTTGAACCAAGGCTGTAATGAGATTAGGAGCTGAGTGGCCCTGGCGGAATCCAAACTGGGAGTCACTGAGCAGGTTATTTCTGAGCAGGGGCTGCTTGATAGCACTGTTGATCACACCTTCCATCACTTTACTAATTTTTACTTATTTGTAACTTTAGTATGAGTTCAGACATTTAGATGGGCTGTTGAATGTGTACAGGTCTATCCATGTCTAGGTTCTTACTTTATAAAGGATAACATAAGCGTTTACGCACTAGGTAAAGATTTCCTACTGGAGGCAAAATCCGATTTATGGGCACTTCCTGTACATCTAATTGTAGTCTCTCTCATGGCAATGTTTGACAGTGAAACTAAAACCCATTTTTGTTTACCTGGAAAAACAAGCAATTGGGTCAAATGCAGATGAAAGTAATTACTTAGAAAACAAAGAAACAAAGAAAGTAGGGACAGGAGTAGGCCCTTCAAGTCTGCTCTGTCATTCAATAAGATCATAGCTAATCATCCAGCTCAGTCTCCTGTTCCCGCTTTCATCCCTAACCCTTTGGTCCCATTAGCCCTAGGAACTATATCTCATTCTTTGAAAACATTCAATGGTTTTGCCTCAGTTATCTCCTGTGGCAGAGAATTGAACAGGGTTGCCATTCTCTGGGGGAAGAATTTCTCCTCAGTCCTAAATGACCCACCCCACGTCCTTAGACTGTGATGGGCAGTTCTGGGCTTCCTGGTCATCAGGAACATCCTTCTTTCGTTTATTCTGTCAAATCCTGCTGGAATTTCACAGGTTTCTATGAGATCGCCACTCATTCATCTGAACTCCAGTGAATATAGGCCTTGTTGATCCCGTTTCTCTGCCATCCCAGGAATCAGTTATTTACCAGGTTTGCCTGTAATCTTATCTGGTTGGATGCACTGGGCTCAGTCCTACAAATACTGGCTGTAAATCCACAAACCAGGAGATTCCAAGATCACTTGTGTCCACACTCCAGCTTTGCAAGTTGCTGCGAAGTACTAACCTCCCAGGTCCGTGCACCGAGAAACAAACTACAGGAAGTAACAAAAACAAAGTTGCTGGAAAAGCTCAGCAGGTCTGGCAGCATATGTGAAGGAAAAAACAGAGTTAACATTTGGGTCCGGTGACCCTTCCTCAGAACAGAGCCAGACCTGCTGAGCTTTTCCAGCAACTTTGTTTTTGTTCCTGATTTACAGCATCTGCAGTTCTTTTGGTTTTTATAAACTACAGGGAGTATTGGCTAAGATCCAGGAGCTGTGAATTATGTGCCACATCCCTTTTAGCAGGATAGGAATAGGAGATAGATGTTACTGTAGGGCCCTCAAGTGTGTTCCATGTTTTAATTCATTCGTGGTTGATCTGTATCTTAGCTCGCTCTATCCATATTCGTTAAATTTCTTAAAATTCTTACCAAACAAAATCAACAGCCTCAGTTGTACAGATGCATATCATCAAAGGCCAACTAATTCCTAAATTTCACAACCTGGCTGAGTTGTCCTACCTTTAATCACAGTATATCCAGAGTTATGGTAACAATCTGTTATACTGTTGTGTCATTACACACCTCTTGACCCTAAGCTGGATCTCCAGGCTCAGAGCTAGGGATGCTACCACAACAGCCCTTGCTTTGTTGTACATTTTGTTTTTTGAAACTTATTCTCTGATCAACCTGATCAGTGGTGTCATTACACATCTCTGGAACAGGTGGGACTTGAACCCAGACCTCCTGAATTAGAGGTAGGAACACTACCACTGCACCACAAGAGCCATTGCTCTGCTGTATGCACTTAGCCTGAGAAGTGGAGACAAATGTAGGCTATTCCGATCCTGGAGACTCCTCAGCCTTTGAATAAGATCTTGCACCTCAACATCACCCTGCCACACCATCATCACATCCTGTAATGTCCAAAAATCTATCAATCTGACTTCTAAATCTGTTCTCTAAGCATCAGTAGCCCTCTGGGATAGAGATCTGCAAAGAGGCACTGAACCAAGGTGCTCCTTCTCATGTCAGTCCAACATTTTCACTTGCAATCATGATGCCTCATTCTAGACTCTCCAGGCAAAAGAAACGGCCTGTCTGCATTTCCCCTTTCAAATACTCCCAGAATTTAAATGTTTCATTGAGATCATCTCTCATTTTGGGGAGGTCAGAACCAGGGGTCACAGTCTAAAGACACAGGGTAAGTTGTTTTGCTGAGCCCACAGCTTTTTGTCATTTATATAAATGATCTGGATGTGAATACAGGAGGAATGGTTAGTAAGTTTGCAGGTTACACCAAAACTGTTGGTGTAATGGACAGTGAAGAAGATTATCACAGAATACAATGGGATCTTGGTCAGATGGGCTGAGGAGTGGCAGATGGAGTTTAGTTTAGATAAATGTGAGGTGTTTAGTAATGCAAATCAGGGCAGGACTTTTACACTTAATGGTAGAGTCCTGGGGAGTGTTGCCATGCAGAGAGACCTTGGGGTGCAGGTTCATATTTCCTTGAAATTGGTGTCACAGGTAGACAGGATAATGAAGAAGGCATTTGGTACGCTTGCCTTTATTGGTCAGTGCATTGAGTACAGGAGTTGGGATGTCATGCGGACAACTGTTTTGGCCACTTTAGGAATACCGAGTACAATTCTGATTGCCCTGCTATAGGAAAGATGTCGTTAAACTTGAGAAGGTGAAGAAAAGATTCACAAGGATGTTGCTGGGGTTGGAGGGTTTGAGCTAAAAGGAGAGGCTGAAGAGGCAGGGCCTATTTTCCCTGGAGCATTGGAGGCAGAAGGTGACCTTATAGAAGTTTATAAAATCGTGAGGGGCATGGATAGGGTGAATAGACAAGGCCTTTTCCCCAGGCTAGGGGAGTCCAAAACTGGAGGGCATAGGTTTAAGGTGAGAGGGGAAAGATTTAAAAGGAACCCAAGGAGCAACTTATACACGCAGAGGGTGGTGCGAGTATGGAATCAGCTGTCAGAGGAAGTGGTGGAGGCGGGTACAATTACAACGTTTAAAAGGCATTTGGATGGGTATACGAGTAGGAAGGGTTTAGAGGGATATGGGCCAAATGCTGGCAAATGGGACTAGATTAATTTAGGATATCTGGTCGGCCTGAACGAGTTGGACCGAAAGGTCTGTTTCCGTGCTTCACATCTCTGTGACTTTATGAGGAGAAATTTCTTCACTAAGAGTGATGAGCCTTGAAATTCTCTGCCATAGAAAGCAGTTGAGGTCAAAACATTGTACAATTTCAAGGAGTTGGATATTGCACTTCAGGATAAAGCAAGCAAAATACGTGGAAAAGAAGCGTCAACTGAGTAGTAAAGTATTGAACGATGGAGCAGCTCAAAGGGCCAAATGGCCTACTCCTGTTCTTATCTTCTGATTCTCTGTCTATTGTCTATAACTTCAGGAAATACAGGCTGATTCTACTTAATCACCTCCCCCCCCAACCACAGGACAACACTATCATGCAGTTTTAAATGCTGGTGTGATGTGGTGGTAGTATCCACCAGGTTCCAGTCCTGCCTCCTCCAGGGACATGTCACAACACATCTGAACAAACTGATTGAAAATACCTATCGTGCAGCGTGCCTGGCAAGATGAGAGCTGACAAAAGACAATCCCAGGTATCATATGGTGCCCGTTCACTGAAGACCCTGGGCACAGATGGACACACTTTCCCACGTGGGCACACAGAACACTCTGGGGGTTCTCGGCTGGTTTCGTGTGTGTGAGTGGCTTGAGGAAACCAGAGTGTGAACAACAACAGAACCCCTGAGTGTAAGTGGTTAGGAGGTCATGAAATCCCAGTATCAGAGGTCTACAGCATGGAAACAGGCCCTTCAACCCAACTTGTCCATGCTGGCTAGATTTCACACTTAATCCAGTCCCATTTGCCTGCATTTGGTCAATATCCCTCCATACCTATCCCATCCATGTACCTGTCCAAACGTTTCTTAAATAATAAAAAAACTTGCCTCCACCACTACCGCTGGCAGCCATTCCAGACACTCCCCACCCTCTGTGTGGGATAACTGCCCCTCTGGACCTTTGTGCATCTCTCTTCTCTCATCTTAAACCTGTGCCCTCTAGTTTTAGTCTTCTCTACCATGGGGAAAAGGCTATCTACCTTACCTACGCCCCCACCCCCCCCCCTGATTGTATAGACCTCTATAAAAGGTGGCCCCTCAATCTCCTACATTCCAGGGAAAAGAGTCCCAGCCTACACAGCCTCTCCTTACAACTCAAACCTTCCAGTCCAGGTAGCATTCTAGTAAATCTTTTCTGCATTTTTTCTAGTTTAATAATATCCTTTCTAATCATAGGGTGACCAAAACTGCACACAGTACTCCAAGTGTGGCTTGTATAGCTGCAACATGACATCCCAGCTCCTATACTCAATGTTCTGACCCATTAAAGGAAGCATGCTGAAAGCCTTCAAATGCGTGAGCCTCTGTGCTATTTCAGCAGATTTCACTCAGAACGTACTGATACTCAGGGCAGAAGCCAAACAGGAATCTCCAGTGATAGCAAGAACTACAGATGCTGGAGTCAAAGACAACGCAGTGTGGAGCTGGAGGAACACTGACCCAACCCGAAACGTCAACTTTCCTGCTCCTCTGATGCTGCCTGGCCTGCTGTGTTCCTCCAGCTCCGCACTGAGGAATCTCCAGTCCCTCATTTGCAAATGAGATATCAGATATTGAAGGAACCTGGTATTGTAACTGAATTGTTCCATAGGATGTTTTGGGTTCTCTGTCATGTTATTATTTCTTGGACAATTGGGAAAATGTGTCTTTAAATTCTGCAAGGGACATACATTGCAAAAACAAAGTCACTTCAGGTTATTCTCCAGCACGATTGCAAATCCTGCAATGACATTGGAAACCAACTTCTAATTTTTATTCTGTATACACAAACACATAGCTAGCATTTCATTATTAAACTTTACACAGGGACATCTCACACATATGCATAATTCAAGTAACCTGCTAGGTATTTGAATTTCATAATATGCTCAAGATACAATTGCTGACGTTATTAAACCAGGTAAGGTTATGTTGGACTGGCTTGACCAATTTCCAGGCTAGCTCTATGAGTGAAGCGCTGGAGGATTTCTCCAGAATGTTACTTAATGAAAAAAGGTTAATTTTTACAGAAAACTTCAGTCTATTTTAAAATGAGTTACTTCCTTAAATCTATCCAGGTTGCTACCAGCAGTCAAGAGGGCAGGATCAATGACCACTAAGAGGTGCCAAAGACTATCCACACTTGGCTCCTTACTACGGGTTTCTCAACTGGAACACCCCTTAAGGCAGAGGCAGGGAATAGAACGGGACCAGTGTCAATTCTTGTCCGGTAGCAATGGTAGTTAGCACAACACATGTACGTGCATACAGACTGTGACAACTATCAGGTGAGGCTCACAATGCCATTAACTCTCACAAACATTCTCAGAAGCACAATTACAGCCTCTCTCTCACAATACAACCACGCACAGGCACACACTGAGTAGCCAGACCATACAGTTACTGTGGATGTAACAGCATGTCAGAGGCTATCGCAGGGTAACGCAACTCTTGACTCCCTTGAGCCTGTCTACCGTCTACAAAGACACAAGTCAGGAATGTAATGGAATACTTCCCACTTACCTGGATGGGGGCAACTCCAACAACACTCAAGAAGCTCCATACCATCCAGGACAAAGCAGCCCGCTTGATTGGCACCAAATCCACCACCTTCAACATTTACCAACAGTGGCAGCAGCATTTCATGACTGGCTTTGCAACCCATTACTTCTAGTTCTTAGTCCGTGGAAAAACCACCTTCAAAGTTCCCTTCAAACCACACACCATCCTATATTGCTGTTCCTTCACTGCCCTGTTGAAAATCCAAGAGCTCCTGCCTAAATGTGGCATTGTGATAATGTCACCCCTGGGATTGTGGGTTCACCGAGACAGCTGGCAAAATTTAAAATTAACCAATCTGGAATTAAGGCAAGTAACTATGACAACCATCATCAATTGTTGTAAAAACTAACATCTTTTAGGGAAGGAAATCTGCTGGTCCTTACTGGTCTGCCCTATACATGACTTCAGACCCATAGCAATGTGGGTAATTCCTAACTGCCCTCTGAACTGGTCTAGCAGGTCACTCAGATCAAAGGGCAATGAGAGATGCGCGGCAAAGTGTTGGTTTTGTTGGTGATGCCCACAACTGTGAGAAGAAAAACCAGCCTTTTCCATTTATTCATTCAACTCCCCATCAATTGCATCCCCCTTCCCTCACTTAATGTATATATTGTTTCTAAGATAGTAAAACATCACAGGAACATCAAACAAATTTTAACATATAGATATATTCTCTCACACATGCACACACATATACTTGCATGCATTCAGATTTGCTTGCCCACTTCTTCAGTCACTTGTTAACACAGAAAATAATTACTTTCCAATAAAAGATAATTAATCCAAGCCTTATTCTAAGTTTCCACTCGTTAAATTATCTTACATTCTTACAAATGCATATGCATTCTTATTTATGCCCCACTCAGTCTTTCAGTGACTCAGGAAGATGAGGTGTCCTAGGCCTCAGGCTTCATCTTGCCCCATATTGATCCTAGTGCAATGAAATGGTAAAAGGTGCAGTTTGTTGCAGCAGGCCCAAAACCTGTGTATTCCTCCTCGAAGTGGGGACAGTGACTGAGAAACTGGCCCAATGTGCACAACTTGTGTACATTGTTGATGTTGATTGACAGAGTGGGGATAAGATTGCCCAGCTCCCTGCAGTCTCAGGCTGCCTGTGCTGTGCATGTTTACACACAATTATGCCAACAGCAATAAGGCCTCAAGTCTCGCTGAAGTCACAAATAAGCACACTTCATATGTTTGATTGTTCATTAAACATTGTTCTGTCATGCGTTTCCTGCAGCTCTTCCAGTTGGAGCTCATTGATTTTGGTTTTCTGAGAAAAGGATTTTGGCGTAGACTGTAGTGGGACTCTGGGAGTTTGTAGTCGTTGGGTTGCTTGGGGCACTTGGCCGTGTTGGCACCAATTCCAACTCGGCATACGTCAGACTGTCTTCCACAATTCGCGGCTGAGGGAAGAGAGAAACAAACACACTAAGACAAGTTTTTTTTATTTTTAAAAAAGCTTAGAACATAGATTTAAAGATAATTGATGAAGGGATAAAAAGGAGGAATGAGGAGAAACTTCTAGCAAACTGTTGTCATCTGCAACACTTAAAAGGAAAGAGAGTGGCAGAAATGGGAACTTTTAGAAGAGATCTGCCCGCATATTTATCCTATATTTACCCTGAATAATACATGTAGGATCCTTAATGTTAATAGTAGTTGCATAAAGTATTAATGAAGGAAGTTACACTAAACATTTCCAATTTGATGCATGGCCTCAACTGTGTTCAATTCTGGGCACCAAACTCCGAGAAGGATCATACAAATACAGAATCCCGACAATGCAGATAGAGGCCATTAGTCCTATTGAGTCTGTACTGACCCTCTGAAGAGCATCCCATCCCGATTCCACCCCCACATTTCCTACAGCTAATCCACATAGCTTTCACATCCCTAGACGCTACGGGGCGACTTAGCATGGCCAATCCACCCTAATCTGCACATCTTTGGACTGTGGGAGGAAACCAGAGCACCCGGAGGAAACCCACGCAGACACGGGGATGAATGTGCAAACTCCACACAGACAGTTGCCCGAGGCTGGAATCGAACCCGGGTCCCTGGTGCTGTGAGGCAGCAGTGCTAACTACTGAGCTGCTGTGCTGCCAAAAGGGTGTTAAAACCTTGCAGAGAGTGCAGAGGAGAATGCTACAAAGAATGAGGGACTTCTCTTTTGAGGAGGGAATGTAGGAACTGAGGTATTTACCTTCCAGGAGAAAAGGTTAAGGGGACATTTAAACAGAGATGTTAAAAATTAAGAAGAATTTTGTTTGTGTAGAAAGGGAATATGTTTTCATTGGAAGTAGGGTCAGAATCGAGAGGATATGGAATGAGAGTGATTGGCTGAGAAAGTGGGTGGGAGAATAATAACATGAAAAATTATTTGAAATTGATGATCCTGGATGCCCTATCTGAAAGGGTGATGGAAGGAAATTCACTAATGACTTTGTAAGGTGCAAGCTGGATATCTGTTTCATAGAATTCCTACAGAGTGGAAGCAGGCCAATCAGCCCATCGAATCTACACTGACCCCCCCGAACAGCATCCCACCCAGACCAAACACCTTACCATATCCCAGTAACCCTACGTTTCCCACGGCTAGTCCACCAATCCTGCACATCCCTGACACCACGGGCACTTTAATATGGCCAATCCACCTAACCTGCGCATCTTTGGACTGTGGGAAGAAACCCACACAAATGTAGGGAGAATATGCAAATTCCACACAGTCACCTGAGGGTGGAATCAAACCCAGGCCCCTGATGCTGTGAGGCAGCAGTGCTAACCACTGAGCCACCATATTCAAAAAAAAAGAAAAATATTACACGGTTAACAGGAGAGGGGGTACAATATGCACATTGGTAGGAAGAAAAGGAGTTGAACATTATTTAAGCAGAGAAAGGCTACAGCACAGAGGGATCATGCATGAATCATAAAAAGCTAGCATCCAAGTTCAGCAGGTAATAAGGAAGGCAAATAGATTGCTGGCTTTTGTCATAGTGAATGGAATACAAAATACTCTATGCCACTATAATAAAAAAAATGAAGTCTTACTAAAACTATACAATGCACAAGGCAAACCACAGCTGGAATACTGCAAACTGTTTTGGGCCCCTTATCTAAGGAAAGGTATACTGCATTGGAGGCAGTCTACAGAAGATTCACTGGGCAGATCCATGGTATGGAGGGATTGTCTTATGAGGAGAGGTTAAATAGATTGGAATAAAGAAAAATAAGATGCAAATTTATTGTAAAAAACATACAAGATTCTTAGTGGACTTGACAGAGTTGATGCAAAAAGGTAGTTTCCCCTGGTGGGAAAATCTATATTCAGAGGGCATAATCTCTGAATAAGGGGTTGCCCATTTAAGACAGAGTTAGGGAAGAATTTCTTCTCTCAGAGTTTGAATCTGTGGAATTCTTTATCACGGAGAACTGTTAAGGCTGTCATGCACCAGGAAGATTCAGGCTTTTAACCTCCGGTTACATCGAGTTTACTGATCTCAGCTAGACCTTGGCACACAAAAAATAATTTGGATTCCAAATGCTTGGGATACAAAAGGGAACGATCATTCACATTTCCTGCTCCCCACGCACTACACAGTGACTTTTAATGGAAGTGCATAGGATAGATTTTGACTTGAATCTACTGGACACAAAAAAAAAGTGGGAAGACAATGGCCTAGTGGTATTATCACTAGACTATTAACTCAGAGACACAGGTGATGCTTTGGAGAGATGGATTTGAATCCTGCCACATATGGTGGAATTTGAATTTAATAAAAATCTGGAGTTAGGAGTGTAACGATGAGCATGAATCTATTGCCAATTGACAGAAAAAAACCTACCTGTCCACTAGACTCCTTCAGGGAAGGAAACAGCCATCTTACCTGGTCTGGCTTACATGTGACTCCAAACCCACAGCAATGTAGTTGACTCTTAACTGCCCTCTGGGCAATAGTGTTGGTCTAGCCAGAAACACTCTTATCCCACGAATAATGAATAAAAAATAGGGCTATCAATAAATTTACAGCATTTGCACAAATTCAAAGTCATGGCTTGACAGTTGGACATTTGGTGAGATTGTGATACCTGCTAAGTCAAATATCCCACAAGTATTCATTATCAAGGTGCCCGCTCTGATGGATTCATACCATAGTAGACAAGTCACTATCCAATAGGAGTAAAAAGGGATGGGAGAGAATCATACAGTTAGGACAAAAAGAAATTGTATTTCCGTAGCGTTGTTGATATATTAGAATGTGTTAAGACACTTCACAGTATTCTCTTAAACAGAATAACACTGAACCACAGAAGAATCAAATAAACAAAAGCTTGGCGAAAGATTTAGGCTTCAAGCAGTGTCTTAAAAGAGGAAAGTACAATTAGAGTCAAATTAAAAGTAATCTTCAATCAGTGTCCACTGAATTCTGAACCTCCAGGAAAGCCTTGTGACAGATCTCCGTGTGTGTGTGTCTGTGTGTGTGTGTGTGTGTGTGTGTGTCTGTGCATGTGTGTCCTTGTTAAAATGATGAGTGTCCTGCGTAAGATGGAGCTGAATCATACTAATCTAAGCCGGGCTGCAGGATGGCCATTATAATTAACACTGGAGCTAGGCAGGGGTGAAACTGCCACTGCTGATCGCTGTTCATTGACTGTTTTGTGCATGTGGAGGGGGAGACAAACTGGAAGGAGGAGACACCTTGATAGCACATTATTGTATTCAATTCTGGTCGTCACATTTCAGGAAGGATGTGGAGGTGATGGAGAGGGTGCAGAAGAGGTTTACCAGGATCTTGGATTAGAGGGTATGAGCTATAAGGAGAAGCTAGAAAACCTAGGGCTGTTTTCTCTGGAGCGGCGGAGGCTGTGGGGAGACTTGATAGAAATGTATAAAATTATGAGATGCGTAGATAGGGTTGACAGTCAGAATCTTTTTCCCCCCCAGAGTTGAAATGTCTAATACGAGGGGGCATGCATTTTAGGTGAGAGGGGGAATGTTCAAAGGAGATGTGAGAGGGCAAGTTTTCTTTTACACACAGAGTGGAACGCGCTGCCAGGGATGGGGGTGGAGGCAGACAAAATAGGGATGTTTAGATAAGCACATGAATATGCAAGGAATGGACGGGTATGGATGAAGGGAAGGTAGAAGGGAATAGTTTAATTTGGCATCATGTTCAGCATAACGTTGTGGGCCGAAGGGCCTGTTCCTGTGCTGTACTGTTCTATGTTCTACATGACTGAACCTGAGTATGCTAACAGTGACAGAGGGACGAAGCTTAGTTTTCTAGCCAAGTAAGGCACTGAATATTCATTTTTAGAGCATGACTTTTTCTTATAAGGATCAATTCCACAGATGTATAGAAAACCAAAGAATATTTTGATGTGATTGCTTGTAAAAGGAATAAGAACGAAAAGGGCAGAGGTTTGAGGTTTTCAAAATCATGAGTGGGCTGGATAGTGGAGATAGGGAGAAGCTGCTCCCACCTGTAAAAGGAACAAGAACCAAAAGGCACAGGTTTAGAGTGATGTGCAAATGAAGCAAGGGTGATGTGAGAAAAAAAACATTTTCACTTAGTAAGTCGGTATGGAATGCACTACCTAGAAATGCAGTGAATGCAGGTTCAGTTGAGGCATTCCAGATTGTATTGGATGGGAATAGCGTGCAAGGATATGGGGAGAAAGATCGGCACTGGGCAATGAAGTTTATTTGAAGAGATGGTACAGGCACGGTGGGCTGAATGGCCTCCTTTTGTACTGTGACAACTGTGTAATTGGCTTCAGCACATAAGGGAGGGAGCTGGAAAATTCACTACAATGATGGAATGTCTGGAATCTTTAGAGACTTCTGGTTCTAGCCAAAAATCTTTTCAGGACAGATTCAAAAACAACACACGTTCCAAGCATAGTATGACACTACAGAACAGCAACATGCCCTTCAGCCTGTTGTTCAGCTACCTGTAAATCCTTGCACTACATTATTAGAAAATGTCACGTTGAGACAGTCTCCTGATTAACCACAACCCCATGTGATAGCTGCAGCACAGCAGCCTCCCAGGCTACATACAGATTCTTGCCACTGGTTGGATTCCATGGCATGTGCCGTCCTCGCTGGGAGGAAATAGCAGAAGTAAATAATGGTATCGCTCCTTCTATTCCAATCTCCTCTTAAATGCATTTCACCACAATGAGTAAAGCAGTTTCTAGTGAATTCCTTATTCTATCTTAAGTTCAACAGCTGCTACTTTCAGAGTCTCCCATGTCTATCCTATTGAATCCTTACATACTTATAAAGATCTGTGTCAGGTCACTTCTTTATTCTAGAGAAAAAAAAAGTGTCAACTCCTGTCCAGTCCATTGGGAGGAATGTGTCACCTCAATTTCTGCATGATCCATTCGTAAATAG